GAACGGCACATATCCGCCACCGCAGTTCAGCAGCTGGTGTGTCGGCCCTCCCGACGCGGCCAGCCCAACACGCACTCGTTTGCTTCGTCGTCGTCGTCGTCGCCGTCATCGTCGTAATCGTCGTCGCGATCGCCGTCGCCGCGCCCGACCGCGACGACGGCGACAGGCGCCTTGCCCCGCTGAGATGACTGGAATTCGGCTGCCCCCGGGCGCCGTCGTCGCCGGGCGCCGTCGTCGTCGTCCTCCTCTTCCTCCTCCTCTTTCTCCTCCTCCTCCTCCTCCTCCTCCTCTCCTCTTCCAGCGCCTCCGCCTCCTCCTCCTCCTCCTCCACCACCTCCTCCTCCTCCTCGCCTCTTCCAGCGCCTCCTCCTCCTCCTCCTCTCCTCCACCTCCTCCTCCCCTCCTCCTCCTCCTCCTCCTCCTCCTCCTCCTCTCCTCCTCCCCCCTCCTCCTCCTCCCCCTCCTCCTCCTCAACTCCTCCCCCCCCCTCCCTCCTCCTCCTCTCTCGTCGTCTTCGTCGTCGTCGTCCTCCTCCTCCTCCTCCTCCTCCTCCTCATCCTCCTCCTCCTCCTCCTCCTCCTCCTCCTCCTCCTCCTCCTCCCTCCTCCTCCCTCTCCTCCTTCTCTTCCTCCTCCTTTTCCTCCTCCTCCTCTCCTCTCCTCGTCCTCCTCCACTCCCTCCTCCTCCCCTCCTCCTCTTCCCCTCCCCCTCCCCCCCTCCCCCCCCCCTCCTCCTCAGTTTCTCCCCTCTCCTGCCCCATCCCGATCCTCGTCGTCGTCGTCGTCCTCCTCCTCCTCCTCCTCCTCCTCCTCCTCCTCCTCCTCCTCTGTCGTAGTCGTCGTCGTCCTCGTCATCCTCCTCTCTCGTCGTCGTCGTTCTCCTCCTCCTCCTCCCTCGTCTTGCCTCCCTCCTCCTCCTCCTCCTTTTCCTCCTCCTCCTCCTCCTATCGCTCTCTGCTCTCCCTCCTGCTGTCTGCTCCCCGTCCTTCCCCCCGTCCTCCTCATCCTTCCCCTCCGATCCAGGCGTTCCGGAATCCTTCACGAAGCCCAGAAGCTCCTCAGATTCAGGCCTCTCCGAACAAGCCCCCGGAACCTGCCTCACGGGAACCCAGCAGCCCTCGATAGCTCAGCTTCGAGGAGTCTCCCAGGGGCCCTCATGTTCCCCACAAGGGCTCTGAAACTTCTCAGAGGCTCAGGGAGCTCCCCAAACGTCTCCAGAGGCTCTCCAAGGGGCCTCGGGGGCTCTCCCACAGGTTGTGGTGCCTCTCCCAAAGGTCTTAGGCCACCCAGGCGCGGCGATACCTAGAAGGAACGCATGGGCAAAGCGATCGCGAAGCCGACGTGTCATCCGGACTAGAGATGTTTTTGTGAGTCGGCGTAGGCGTTGTCAAGACCTCCTCGGGTGGGAGATCTGGATAAGGGAATATCGGACCCCCTTTGGGCAAGAGAAGCCCCCCATGATGGGGCAGCTATCATGATGGATGCATGCTGCAAATCGAATCATAAACCATGCGGGTCAACTGATTGTTGTTGTTGTCGTTGTTGTTTTTCGGGGCCCAACAGCGCAACTTCATGACCCCAAACTGTTCCTTGTCCGCAACAAGATGCGAGGCCAGGGAAGAACACTTTCATTGAACAACACAAAACGGTCACCGGGCACGGGGGATCAACAATACGTGTTCTTTAGAACCGACAACTCTGTGGCGCCTGCGGCGGACTTCTGCAAAGCCTCTCGGACTGCCAACGACCCTGGAGGCCCCTCACTCTTATCTGTAACTGCGGGGTGATATGCATTCATAGTGCTGTGCAATCGTAGCGGGGAGCATCTTCGAGGAAGACGAGGAGGGCTGCAGTGTTCATCGGCATTCTTGGCATCTTTGTGGTCACCACTGCGACTGAACAGGAAGCTTTGCTGACCGATTATTTCGTGACTTATTCCTAACAGGTACTCATGCTATTCATTACGATGTTCCTTGCACTGATCGTGTGCATATTTTTTGCGCTACAGGGTAATGTATGTGACGTTCTGCTGGCTCGCAAGTTGTTGTGTCATGTCGGCACGCCTCGCATTGGTTTGGCCACCAATGCGCCGAGACATGGCCGTTATTGCAGTGGCGTGTCCAGAAGAGGAAGCAGTGCAGTCATGATGTGGTTCGTCTGCCAACAGGGCCACTGATCTGGTCTATACCTTCTCTGGCTCTTCAATCCCCAATTGCGTTTTCCTTTCCCGCTGCAGTGTTCAACGTCATTCTCTCTCAACATGTTTGTAGTCGCTAGCACGACTGAGCTGGAAGTTTAGCTGGCCGGTCAATTCGCGACCTCTGCATTTTTTGTACTCATGATATTCGTTATGGTGTTCCTCGCGCTGCTCGTTTGCGCCATTTGTGAACTACGGTGTGATGTATTTGACGTGATGCTGGCTTGCCGGTTGCTATGTCATGTCCGCACGCCCGGTTTGGCCATCGAAACGCCGAAACATGACCGTTCTTGAAGTGGCGTGTCCTAAAAAAAAACAATAAAGCTACGTAGCAGTTCGTCGTCCGGCATGGCGAGGGTGAGGGGCAGGGAGGAGGGGGGGGGCTGGAGAAATGCGGCTTGGGCAGAGGGGGGGGGGCAAGGGAGGGGGGGAGGAAGGAATTTCCTGGGAATCGCCTGGTCGCCACAAAAGGGGATGACGGGGTAGTGAGGAGGGGGAGGGAGCTGGGAGGGGGGAGGGATGGAACGGGATGAGGAGGGATGACGCGGGGGGGGGGGGGGAGTGAGAAGGCGAGGGCGAGGGAGATGGCAAGGAAAAGGCGGGAGGGAGGAAAGACGACGGGGAGGGGAAGGGTGGAAGTAGGAAGGAACGTCCCGGGACCCGAACATCTCGACCCCGTCCCCCGGACTTTTTCCCCCTCTAGAATAATTGTGTGACTGTCCCGGGACTAGAGGCGGCCTTGAGACGCAAAAGCCTGCGACAAAATAGTGCCGCTAGTTTCCGCACCACTGAAGTCTGGCGAGGGGGGAGGGGCGGGAACAGAAGCAGCAGCACGGGGGGATTCTCGACGTGTGTGGCCTTGAGCGTTTGCGAGCCGACCTTGCGGCCTGGCTTCGTCTTGACGCAGGCTGCCCCGAGCTGCGACACTGCTCGGCCAACAGCGGCTCTGAGCTCTTGGGCCGACTTACTTCGCGCTTCGCGCTGCATGGTTCTATTTGCGCTCTCAACTCCCCCTCCAAAAAAAAACCATCCCTCCTGGCCCAGACCGCGAGGCTTGCATCGGCGGCGAGCGAGGGGGGGGGGTAAGTGAGAAGGAGAAGGCCTTCTCAGAAGGCGGCGGGACTTCCCAGAAACCCTCGCGCCCTCCGAGAAGCTGCCTGTGTCTTCGGGGCGAGCCGAGAAAACTTCTCGGAAGGCCTGGGGACTTCCGAGCCTTCTGCGGAGGCCTTCTCCTTCTCACTTCCCCCCCGCCCCCCTCGCTCTGGCCATCGCTCGGACGTCCATTCCCTGTTTTTTTGGGGGGGGTTCGTGCGTGTTTTTTTCGCCAAGTGATCAAGGATGTTCCTAGATGGTCCTCGCCGAAGGAAAAATGCACACGTCCGAGCGATGCCAAGCGCTCGCCGCCGATGGAAGCGTGACTCGAACTTCGCCCCCTGCGGGTGACCCTGGGGCCCCGGGTGCTGCGCCCCAGCAGCCCCCCCCGCTCCGCTCCCCGCCTGCTCTCGCTGCACCGGCATGGGCGCAGCCTCACGTCGCCCAGTGGTCAAGTCGGGCACGTCCCTCTACGGGAGGAATATCCAAAATGGTAAAAAAATAATCAGGGGATGTTTTTTTTCGTATTTATCAACCTTTTGGGAGTGTTTTTGAATACTTTGTGTTTTTCGTCCACAATCCCCCTGTAGGAGGACAGGCCCGACTTAACCCAAGGGTCACGAAACCGCAAAAGCGTGGCCAATCCGTCAATCAAATCAGACACCCTCCAACGAACTCTGCAGATACCTTCAGGGAGGGGGCGGTGCAGAAAGTCGCCGGCTCCCAGTGGTGATCTATACACCGCCACCCTCCCCTGAGGCCCAGGCACAATCCAGTGGAGTGTATTTTAGGGAAACAAAAAGTGACATAAACATAAACACTCGGAGGTCCGCGCGGTTTTCTCGGATCGGCGCTGGGGCCCCTCGGCGGCGCCTCCGGCGCCGCCCCTGGCGCGCTCCGCGCGCCAGGGGAGGGGGGTCCAGCGCCGGTCCGAACAATCCGCGCGGCCCTCCGAGTTGTTATGTTTATGCCATCCTTCGTTCCCCTAATAATCTGAACATGTGTGAAAATATGTGCGTGCGTCCTGGGGCTAGGAGGAGTCGCGTGCACTTTGCCGACGCCCCGCCCCAGCAGCGCGCCCGTCGCGCGGCGGGAGCGCGCCGCGGGCGCGCAGGCCACTGTCCAGCGGCGGAGCGCTGGGAGCCTTGGGGACCCGCCTGCTTCGCGGACACGTTGGGCGCCGGGACCTCCTCTCTCTCTTCCGACCAGCCGCAACTGGGGGAGCTGTGGTCCTTACCCCCCTGGGGGAACCCATCGCCTCGACGATCTCTCGAGAGAGGTGTCGAAATCGATGGGTCCCCCAGGGGGGTAAGGACCACAGCTCACCCAATTGTGGCTGGCCTGCTCTTCGTGGGAGGCAACCATGTGCCACCTCGCCCACCGTCGTCCATCTCCGTCGGTAGACGTCCATCGGGGAGCGAAGAATGGCATAAACATAACAACTCGGAGGTCCGCGCGGATTCCTCGGATCGGCGCCGGGGCTCCACGGCGGCGCCTCTGGCGCCGGCCCTGGCGCGCTCCGCGCGCCAGGGAGGGGGGTCCAGCGCCGATCCGAGAAATCCGCGGGGACCTCCGAGTTGTTATGTTTATGCCATTTGTTGTGCCCCTACAGAAGGCACCGCTGCGTGACCTCGCTGGTACCAGGCTGGAGCTGCGGCTGCGCGGACACGACCATGAGGGCCTCCGTCTTCAAAGCGTCAGGACTCCAAGCATCACGAGCCTCTGAGCATGCCATCCTGAAAGATCTGCTTGAACGTCACCGCCAAGCTCGCCGTCTCCGCACAGATGTGCGCCCTGCCGGGAGCCAGCGTCGCCTTGATCCGCTCGGCCTCGTCGACGTTGTTAGATATCAGGATCACGTAGGCCTGCACGGACGGGTCCTTCTGCAGGATCTCGCCCCACCTCCGCACGTCTATGCCGTAGCGCTGCAGGTCCGCATCGCTCACCACGAACACGAGGCGCTCGTCCGCTGGCAGGCGGCCGATCTCGCGCACGGCCGCCGCCGTGGCCTCCGGGGAAGCCCAAGAGGTACCGACACCGCTCCTGCCCGACCACAAGGCACTCCCATCCGCATTGAGAAAATCAAGACCACCAGCGCACCTTTCGTACCCCTTTTGGGCCCCATAGGGGGGCCCTTCAGGGCCCCTCTCGGGCACAAGCGGCGCGCCTTTCTTCACCCCCCCCAATTTGTCGCAAGCCCTTTTACGCCAGGCCCGAGGGAGGCGGGCGTCGGGATCTCCGGGGCATTCGGATCGGGAGGGGGATGCGGGTGAGGAGGAGACCCAGGACCACATGCGCCTGGCCTGCGGGTCGACCAAAAGCCCGACGACAGCGACGACGACGACAGCGACGACGACGACGACGACGACGACGACGACGACGACGACGACGACGACAACGAGGACGACGACGACGACGCCGACGACGACGACGACGACGACGCCTCCGCTGGGCACGCGCGGCGCTGCGCGGCGCAGCGCAACCGCCACTGGGCGTGCACGGCAGGCCCGCGCCGTGCCGACTGGCGGCGGCCCCGCCGCCGGTCGGCATCGGCGCTGCGCGCCCCCGGTGGCCCAGAATCGGTCGCTGCTGGACGATCGGACCTACCGATGCCGCTACTCTTATGTCGGGCGTGTCCCCCGACAGGGGGATTTTCGCCGACAAATAAGAGATACCCCCAGCATGCCCCAAAAAGGTCAAAAAGTACTCAAGAAAAAACGACGAAAGATGAAACATACCCCCAACATGCCCCAAAAAGGTAAAAAAACAAAAAAGAAAAAAAAAAAAAACTAAAACCAAGAATCCCCAGACTATTTTTGGAGTATTTTTTGGGGTATCTATTGTTTTTCGTCGAAAATCCCCCTGTAGGGGGACAGGCCCGATGTGGCGCTACTCCCCCAGACATCTTCTGGGGGCGCATTCCGGGCAGCACTGCGGGGCGAAGCCGGCGCCCCGCGCGGAAGGCCACGAGGGCCGCCCCCAGGAGGCCGAGCACAGAAGGGGGCAACAAAAACACGAGGGAGAGGCGACGCGGGCCGGCCCGGGAGGCGCTCACGGGGGGGAAAACCAGGGGCAGGTACCCCAGATTTCGTAATAAAAGGGCGGGGGTCTGGACCCTCCAAGACAAGCCATTTCAGACCCCCCCCCGTGGGAGAACCCTCCAAAACATCGTCCCCAGACCCCCCCAGGCCCTCCAAGATAGCCTGGAAGAGCCCCCCCCCGAAATGAGACCCTCCTCCCTTTGTTACGAAATCTGGAGTAGCGGTTTTCTGGGCCCCTCTTTTTTAGAGGCCGCCCAGATGGGGTCCGAGCAGATGTTGCCGAATGATCGCGCCGCATCGCCCTTGCATCGCCGATGTATCGCCGACGCGTCGGCGATGCACCGGCGACGTGGGCGTGGAGGAAATCGGGCTCCGCACCGAGCCCCATCGCCGACGCGTCGGCGATGCGGCGCGAACCTCCGACCCCATCTGCTCGGACCCCATCCATCGGGGGCGGCCAGGAGGGGGGCCTCCAAGGGGGGGGGGCGTAAATCATTGCCGGCGGCATGTGCGGCCCAGGGGGGGGGGCCTGGGGACGCATTCAACTAAGACGAGGCGCCATGAAATCTAGGAAATCTCATGGGCCCCGCCATGATACCCCCCCCTTGTGTCATGACCCCCCGCTTGGCCGCTCCCGAATCTGACAGGCCTAGATCTCCCTCTTCTCTGAGCCTGGTTTTTGAATTCGAAAAACCAATTTGTTGAATTCAAAAACTCGTTTTTTCATCGAAATCATTGTTTTTTCTTTTTGTTACCCATTACACGTTTCGTGGCCCCATAGGGAGCTCCACCGAAGGCCCCAGTGGCCGCGTCCACATGGCGGCGCCGCACCCATTTCGGCACACCCCTCACACGTTTCGTGGCCCCATAGGGAGCTCCACCGAAGGCCCCAGTGGCCGCGTCCACATGGCGGCGCCGCACCCATTTCGGCACACCCCTCACACGTTTCGTGGCCCCATAGGGAGCTCCACCGAAGGCCCCAGTGGCCGCGTCCACATGGCGGCGCCGCCATTTCGGCACACCCCTCACACGTTTCGTGGCATAGGGAGCTCCACGAAGGGAGCACCGCACCCATTTCGGACACCAGTGGCCATAGGGAGCTCCACCGTCCACATGGCGGCGCCGCACCCATTTCGGCACACCCCTCACACGTTTCGTGGCCCCATAGGGAGCTCCACCGAAGGCCCCAGTGGCCGCGTCCACACGGCGGCGCCGCATTCATTTCGGCACACCCCTCACACGTTTAGTGGCCCCATAGAGAGCTCCACCGAAGGCTCCAGTGGCCGCGTCCACATGGCGGCGCCGCACCCATTTCGGCACACCCCTCACACGTTTCGTGGCCCCATAGGGAGCTCCACCGAAGGCCCCAGTGGCCGCGTCCACATGGCGGCGCCGCACACATTTCGGCACACCCCTCACACGTTTCGTGGCCCCATAGGGAGCTCCACCGAAGGCCCCAGTGGCTGCGTTCGCATGCGGCCACCACCCATTTCGGCACACCCCTCACACGTTTCGTGGCCCCATAGGGAGCTCCACCGAAGGCCCCAGTGGCTGCGTTCGCATGGCGGCGCCGCCACCCATTTCGGCACACCCCTCACACGTTTCGTGGCCCCATAGGGAGCTCCACCGAAGGCCCAGTGGCTGCGTCGCATGGCGGCGCCGCACCCATTTCCACACCCCTCACACGTTTCGTGGCCCCATAGGGACTCCACCGAAGGCCCCAGTGGCTGCGTTCGCATGGCGGCGCCGCACCCATTTCGGCACACCCCTCACACGTTTCGTGGCCCCATAGGGAGCTCCACCGAAGGCCCCAGTGGCTGCGTTCGCATGGCGGCGCCGCCCCATTTCGGCACACCCCTCACACGTTTCGTGGCCCCATAGGGAGCTCCACCGAAGGCCCCAGTGGCTGCGTTCGCATGGCGTCCCCGACCCATTCGGCACACCCCTCACACGTTTCGTGGCCCCATAGGGAGCTCCACCGAAGGCCCCAGTGGCTGCGTTCGCATGGCGGCGCCGCACCCATTTCGGCACACCCCTCACACGCTTCGTGGCCCCATAGGGAGCTCCACCGAAGGCCCCAGTGGCTGCGTTCGCATGGCGGCACCGCACCCATTTCGGCACACCCCTCACACGCTTCGTGGCCCCATAGGGAGCTCCACCGAAGGCCCCAGTGGCTGCGTCCGCATGGCGGCGCCGCACCCATTTCGGCACACCCCTCACACGTTTCGTGGCCCCATAGGGAGCTCCACCGAAGGCCCCAGTGCTACCGCCCTCATGCGTCCATGCGTCCCGTACGCCCAGGACAGCGTTTCGTGGCAATCCTTTTGTGGCCCCATAAGGAGCCCCACCAAAAGCGGCACCCACAAAGCGTTATTCACAATTGCATATGGTTGGGTCCTTCGCCCGGATTTTTTTTTTAAGTTTAAAACCTGTTTTCTGAATGCAAAAACAAATTCTTGAATTCAAGAATCAGCCATGACCCCCTCTTGGCCGCTCCCGAATCTGACAGGCCTAGATCTCTAGACAAGCGCGTTCCACTATTCGCAAAGTAGCTGCTCGCAAATAGCCTCGATCCCCCGCGGAGGGGGGTTACGATAGATTGCACCGCCGCGGACGAGTTTCTGTTCGAACATTTGCGAGTAGGCACTTTGCGAGTAGTGGAGCGCGCTCGGTGAACCTCCCTCCTCTCTGATCGGGAGCGGCCAAGATGGGGGTGTCCAAGAGGGGGGGGTGCAAATCATGACCGGCGGCATGTGCGCGGCCCAGCGGGGGGGCCAGGGACGTAATGAAACAAGAAGAGGCGCCATGAAATCTGGGGAAAAATCATGGCCCCCGCCATGATATCCCCCCCCCCCTAGTCATCACCCCCCTCTTTGCCGCCCCCGACTCTCTGAGCCTCGAGCGTGTGGTCGCCGGGGTGGCAGAACTGCGCGTGCGCCTCCATGCGCCGCGCGATCGCGAGCCGCTCCCTCTCGGTCCGCGGCGGCCGCCCCCAGTCCACGAGGCGCTCGGCCTCGGGGCCGGTGCCGCTGTGACCCACCATGCGGTAGGCGTACTTGGCCTCGAGGCCCGCGAAGCTCTCGAAGATGAAGGTGGCGACCTCCCCTCCTTCTCCTCCTCCTCCTCCTCCATACATTCCTCCTCCTCCTCCTCCTCCTCCTCCTCCTCTTCCATACGTGCATACACACGTGCGCACATACATACATACTTACACACATACATCCATCCATGCATGCATGCATGCATGCATACACGCATGCATAAATACATACGTACATACATAGATGCATACACATGGGTATACACATACATATATACATGTATGCATACATGCGTACGTACGTACACACATACATACACACATGCATACGTACACACTCACACTTACATACATACATACACACATACATGCATGCATACAGGCAGACAGTCATACACACATACAAGCTGACACACACATACACCAATACATATATATATATACAGACATGTCGCCATGCGTGCATACATACACACATGCATACATACAGACACAGACACACATACACGCATACACATACACACATACAGACATACATACATATATGCATACATACATACATCCATACATACATACGTAAATACATACGTACGTATATACATGCATGCATGTATACATACCCACATACATGCACACATACACACATACGTATATACATACACACATACCTACCGACATGCCTACCTACCTACCTACCTACCTACATGCATGTCTGCATGCATGCACGCATGCATACATACACACAAACAGCCATTCACCCATCCATACATGCATTCGTACATGCGTGCATACAACCTCCTCCTCCTCCTCCTCCTCCTCCTCCTCCTCCACACATACATCCCTACATTCAAACATGCATACACCCATACGTGCGCACGTGTTTACATTCATAAATACATATATGCATACATGCATGCATGCATACATACATACATGCATACATACATACATGCATGCATGCATACATACACACATACATACATACACTCATACACACATCCTCCTCCTTCTCCATGCAGGCAAACATGATCCCCCGCCTCCTCATATATACATACATACATACATACATACACGCATACATACCTACATACATACGTACATACATACATACATATATACGTACGTACACACCCATTCCTCATTCTCCATACATACATCAAACCCCTCATTCCCCGCCATAGATGCATCCTCCATCCTGCTCATCCTCCTCCTCCTCTCCCTCCGCCTCACGGCCTGCCCAGAAAGCCCTGCGCACAGCGTCGCGCGGCCGGAGGCGGAGGCTCGTGGACTCGTCGGCGAGCCCGGGGGAGGGGGGGGATGAGAAGGAGAAGGCCCTCCCAGAAGGCGAGAAGGCCCGGGGGGGGGGAAGTGAGAATGAGAAGGAGACGGCCTTCTCAGAAGGCGACAGGGGCTCCTCAGAGGCCCTCGCGCCTTCTCAGAAGTGTTCGGCGTCCTCGGGGGTGGTAGGGAAACAACCTCTATGCACCGACGCTTTTTTCCGGCTCTGTACTGAAGCCAGGAGAGCGGATCCTCTCTTATACGGAACCCTGGTGTATAAATTGTTGATAGCTTCCCCAGGAAAACGGGCAAACATATACGCACCACACTACCCCGACGTCGTCCCCGACCCTCAACAAGTCCTGCGATTGAATACCAGCCCGCCACTGGTAGTGTATGTGCTCCAGTTTCCGATGCTCGTCACCCCACGGGGGGAGCCGCCCCGAAGTCCTCGCCGATGCGGGCTCCAGGGCTGGTCACGAGGAGGGGCCATTTTGCCGAGGCGGGCGGCCCGAACCGCCCGCAGCACAACAAAAAATCTAAGCGAGCTAAGCCGTGTTTTCCGTTCTCGTTGTTCCCGTTTCTCCTACATCGGCGAGACGCAAGGCTCGGGTACGGGGGACTTCGGTTGGCCTGACGGGGCCATCATGAAAATGACGAGACCCAATCTGAAATTTGACGCGAGCTCCCGCTACAAACATCCCGCGAAAACTGGCCCGTCAAAATCCGAAGACGCGCTCGTCAAAATCGTGGGCAAACCCGAATTCCGGCGTACTAGAGATTACGTTCCCCTGACTAACCAAACGTGTAATAATGACGGGTGGCAAGGACGCAAGACTCTTGGAGGCCGAAGTTGGGATTTTTTCGGCGGCGGGCGACCAGTGAAAACGTCAAAGGACAGGCCGCAGAGGCAAGAACACAGGGGTACCCTGGATGAAGGCGGGCGTCCTTGCTAGGCGCGCTGGCTGCAGTTCTGTCTCCGTTTCGCCTCTGCTGCACAACGAAATCAAGACGAAAAGGGCCCACGACATCGCCCAGGCACTGTTTGGCTCGAGCCCTGCAACCTCCTGGAGCCGCTGCAAGCGGCGGTCGATGCGGTTGAAGGTGTACATGCTCCCGCTGATATCCATGACGAACGTGATCCGCTTCGGTGATTTTTGGGACGCGCCGAATGCCCCAGTGTCCGGCTCCCCGCGTCGTGTGTACACGTTCGCGGAGCCGGTGATGCCGTCGACCAGCCGGCTGTCGTCAAGCTCTCCGTGGGTTTGGTTTCTCAACCACTGCCTCTCGTGCTCGCGTGCCTCGTGCCCCTCCAGGCAGACCTTCATCTCCTGGATTTGTGTCGCGACGTTCTGGCGCAGCGCAGCGTACAGCTCCGCCTCGCCCTCAGACATCTTCAGCTCCTCCAGCCGCTTCTTGTAGGCTTCGTCTGCCATCTGCTGCGCCTTCCTCTTGGTCTGTTCATCTATGCCCTGCTTCAGTTCCTCTGGCACCATGACCAACTTCTGGCCCACGTCAAGGCGGTAAGGCCCCCAACGCCCGCCAAGACCGGCAGTGCCAGTGCCGCCGCTGCCGCCTGCGAAGCGGTTGCCGCCAATGTGTTCCTGGCCGTCCCATTCGCCATGCTTGGGGCCGTCCGGATGGATGTCTGGCGGGGCATGCCCGTCGGCGTTGTGAGGGTTTGTGACGTCTTTGGATCTGTCGCGATTTTCTTCCAGCTTGAAAGACAGGTCCCCATGGGCATAGCCCTCCAACAACGCCTCTCCGGCGCCGTCCACAGCGATCTGGTGTCTCCGGAGCACTTCCAGGAGCGGCTGCCGCTTCTGCACATCGTCCATGTCGAAAGCGAAGACGCTCGCCAGCACCTGCTCCAGAGGATCTTCTGGAAAGCGCTGCAAATGCTCCACCACCTTGACGAGCTCCCGTGTGGAGTAGGGGTATGCCAGCTGACCTCGGAGCGGGGCGGGTTGAGACACCGGCAGCTCAAGCCCGGGAAAAACCGGTCCACGGAACCCTCCCAGGGTCCAAGCGCACCAGCTTCCCCGCATGCGTCCAGCCGTTGCGACGATCGGCCCCTCCCAAAAGCCAACTACCGTTGTCTCAACTCGCCCTCCTCTGACTACCTACCAGACCACCCCAACCCAACCCGAAGACCCGAATTTCGGGTTGGGGGGGGGGTAAGGGTTCCACATGCGTTTGTTCGATGTTTCCCGCCCCCCCCCCACTGGAAATCGAGGGTCAATCTGAGCCTTCGAGTTGGGTTGGGGTGGTTTGGTGGGTGGTGATCCTCTGATGACCGACTTCCACAAGATCCCGCAGCTCCGCGAAGAGCAGGGACAACTGCACGATCTGGCCCCTGGGCACGTCGGGGCCCACGCTGCGCAGGAGCGCCACCTCGCTCTCGATGTCCGGGTTGTCCACCACGTGGCACGAGAACACGTCGCCGCACACGCGGTAGAAATCGTTGCCCACGCACGGGGAAGGCAGAAGGCACCTATACCGCAGCTCCCCGGACCTCTCCCGGAGCGCGTGCTGACCAGGACTTCGAGGCGAATCCAGCCGTGGCGGCGGGATCCTCCCAGGAGGCCCCAGAGAGGCGAAAACGACGTAAGGGGAAGCGGTATCCAGGGGCCTCATGAGGTCCGAATAGGTGGGGTCGGAGGATCGCTCCAAGTCGCCGATGCATCGGCGACGACGGCGATGACATCGGCGTCGTCGGCGCGGAGCACATCGGGCTCCACATCGAGCCGCATCGGCGATGCGGCGCGATCATCCGACCCCATCTGCTCGGACCCCATCTGGGAGGCCTGGAGTATCAGTATTAGGTCGGGCCTGTCCCCCTACAGGGGGATTTTCGACGAAAGATTAAAGATACCCCAAAATGCACCAAAAAGGTAAAAACAAATACTCAGAAAATAGTCCCCAGACTATGTTTGGATTACTGTTTGATTATTTCTTGGTACTTGTTTTTTTTTCGTCGTCGAAAAATCCCCCCTGTCGGGGGACAGGCCCGACTTGATAGCAGTGCCCTTTTGGACACCCGAAATGGGTACCGAAAGAAAGGGTACAATGCCCAACAACAAATGTTGTCCCAAACCAACAGCGGCCGCTGTTGGGCAGGCGGCCTCCTGTCTCGAATGGACACAGGCCGCGGCGGCGTGGACAGCGAGCCCTGTTCAAAATGAACAGGAACTGCTGTTGGGCATCGTACCCATTCTTTCAGTACCCATTTCGGGCGTCCAGCACCCTCTCCTTCCCTGTATGAAAGGGTAGCCCGGCCGGTTCGCGAGCACGATCATGCGGAAGCCCTCGGCCACAGGCACGGACGTGGCCGCCTCCCCGTCGGCCGCGGTCGCCGCCGCCGGCGCGGTGCGCGCGCCGCCGCAGCGCAGGAGGCGGCGGCCGTCCTCAGAAGAAGAAAGAACGCCACAAACAGAACCCATTGGCTCTCCGCGTGGATGCCTCGGAAAAACAAAGACATAGACATAAGCATGTACACACCAGGGGCACCGTAAAAATAAACCTGTCGGCAAGATGCACGCGACTCCTCGTAGGGGAACGGATAATGACATAACACATAACAACTCGGAGGTCCGCGCGGATTTCTCGGATCTGCGCTGGACCTCCCTCCCTGGCGCGCGGCGCGCGCCAGGGGCGGCGCCGGCAGCGCCGCCAGGGGGGCCTCAGCGCAGACCCAAGAAACCCGTGCGGAGCGCCAGGAGCTTATGTTTATGGCGTTCCTTCTTCTTCGAGCCGTGCGCGCGCCGCCGCAGCGCAGGGGCCCAGACCCCCGACGTCGTGACTTTCTCGCAACGTCGACCCCAAGAGGTCTGGACCCATTCCCCGGGACCGGCTTTGGTAGTCCCCAAACGTGGTGGTGACAATACCTGGTGGTGAGTCTCGGGCGATTTGGTGTCACCACCCGGTTTGGGGACTCGTGCGGTTTTCCGAGGATGTCCCGGACACTGGTGGGTCCAGGAGTCAAAAAACCTGGTGGAGACCCCGCGTCCCCAAACCCAGCGGTGACCTTTTTGGGGATTCCAGGTCGCCACCTGGCATCTCACCACCCGGTTTGGGGGTTCCCAACGGCTGTTTCAACCCGAATCGTTCTTGGACGGCCCCGAGGCCCGGTAAGGGCCCCCCCGAGTCCGAACATTGCGAGAACACCTCCCGTCACGACTTTCCTCGCGACGCGAGGCGGCCAGGAGAGCCGAGCACGGAGTCGATGCTTCGAATCGGCGATCGACAGGAATCGGATCGGCGGGAAGCGGCAGCCAAGTCGGGAGAAAGCGGATCGGCGGGAATCGGCAGGCTAGTATGCCTCCAGTGAGAAGTCGGAGCCCGAACCGGAACCCCAGGTCGAACCGAATCGCAAGCGGAAGCCATCGAAGCCGAATCGACTCGAAGCCAATCGAATCGACACGAGCCCCAGTCTGGGGAGGCAGCGGCCGTCCTGCAGGGCCAGCTCGCCGTCCTCGCACAGCGCCTTCAGCACGCAGACGACCTCCACTGGCGCCTTGTGTGAACGTTTTCTTGTTCGGCGTTTCGGCAGTGGGCGGAAGACTGCTCCGCCTCCTCCTCCTCCTCCTCCTCCTCCTCCTCCTCCTCCTCCTCCTCCTCCTCCTCCTCCTCCTCCTCCTCCCCCTTCAGGACGGGGGGGGCGGTCTGGCTCCGGACCTCTGCTGGACGCGACTGCTTGCAAAGGGCGCGGCCTGTGGGGGAGACTCCGCCTGCTCGAAAAACGGGCGCCCAGAGCAGCCAGGCTCTGCCCTACTGGGGGGGGACACTTGCATCGCGATGATGCGTCGGGAGCCTGCCTGGTACAGCCGGGGCGTTGACCTAAGGGACCCTAGATAAGGAACGTGGCCACTTTTTTCCATACTCCAGATTTCGTAATAAAGGGAGGGGGGTCTCATTTCGGGGGGGGGGGTCTCTTCCAGGCTATCTTGGAGGGCCTGGGGGGGTCTGGGGACGATGTTTTGGAGGGTTCTCCCACGGGGGGGGTCTAAAACTTTTCGTCTGGGAGGGTTGAGACCCCCTCCCTTTATTACGAAATCTGGAGTAAGTTAAACTTCCATTGCCGATCGAAAACAAAAGGAACACCTGAGGCAGGCTGTGAGACCCTTCAGGAACGCGGAGCCCCTCCCGAACGAAGAGGGCTCCTCCTCCAGGGCCCCGGCTGTACACGTGCGGTGCCGCGTCCGGCGTCGGCCTCCCGAGGCCAACGCGGGGGCGTCCCCCCCCCCCGCCCGCGAGCTGTGCTCTTCTCGTGCGCGGACGATTCCACGGGTGCTGCACGGCGCGCGGCGTGCACAGACTCGTGCATCTCAGATCTGCGAGGAGGAGGAGGAGGAGGAGGAGGAGGAGGAGGAGGAGGAGGAGGAGGAGGAGGGAGGAGGAGGAGGAGGAGGAGGAGGAGAGGAGGAGGAGGGGGTATCGGGGGTATGGGGGATCGGGGGATCGGTGGGGGTATGGGGGATCGGTGGGGGGGGGGGGGGGGGGGGGCGAAGGCCCAGGCCAACGCGGGGGCGTCCCCCCCCCCCCCCCCCCCGCCCGCGAGCTGTGCTCTTCTCGTGCGCGGATGATTCAACGAGTGCTGCGCGGCGCGCGGCGTGCACAGACTCGTGCATCTCAGATCTGCGATCATGTGGGGTACGGCAGGTTCGCGTCGTGTCGACCTGGGCGTTGGTTTCTGACACTGCGTAGATCGTTCAACCTTGAACGATCAGCAGCTCTTCGATCGCCCAATCTTTTCTTGTTGGTCGATTCTGGGCCACTAGCGGCGTTCAACCTTGAATTCCCGCGGCGGGGTCGACGAGGGTCGACACGACGCGAACCTACCGTAGGGGGGTCGGGGGTGGGGGGGGGTGCGAAGGCCCAGGCCGCTCGGCACTTTGCCGTCGCTCGGACGTCCCTTTCCCGTGCATTGTCCGGCTTCGTGCGTTGTTTTCTTTTTGCGCGAGGGTCCAGGCTGGTCCTCTATATGGTTCTCGCCGAGAGAAGTGCACACGTCCGAGCGCTGCCAAGGCACAGCAGCGACGAAGAGGGCGATCGCCTTGTCCGCCTCGTCGACCACGAGGCAGCGCCCCTCGCGGGCTGCGCGGACCAGCGGCGCGTCCCTCCAGGTCACCACGCCCGCCTCCGGGAGGGGAGGGCAGGGGAGGGCTGTCGTGCTTGTTCGTGTGTTCGCCCGCTTGCTCCTTTTGCATCGTTTGTTCGTTTGTGTGCCCGCGTGTGTGGTTGCCTGGCTGCTTGCCTGTCGTGCTTGACCCCCTCGGCAGGGGACCTGTCTATCCCTGAGCTTCCACAGCATGTCCAGTTGGGATGAACACTACCTGCGTTGTTGGCTCGTTTGTTCTGCTATGGGCACCCGCCCTAGAACATATCTTTCCAGGCTGTAGGACCCGCGCCTGAGGAGGCGGGCTCGCGAGGCTGACTCAACTTCACCACGCGCCCTCAAGAGCTGCAAAAGCCGCATCGGCGGCGGATGTGCAACACAGAACCATCCGTGCAGTCGGCCAGAGCACCCTCACGCCCATCCTGCTCGAGGAAGCCGGGGTTCGAGGCGGGGCGGGACCACGCAGCGGCCAGGAGCGGGGCCGCTTCCCCCGTCGTCCGCCGCAGGCACGGCCCGCAGTGCCCAAGCTCCCGAACCCAGGCCCACTCCTGAGCCTCCACATCAGAAACCTGATCCAGTCTCGCAGGTCCGACGAGTTCAACACCCGACGATTCCAGCCGCGGCCCGCGTGGGAGGAGCCTGGTAGCCAGCCTGATTACAAGCTTGGCAATGCGAACGGAACGAGCTATGCTCTACGAAACATCTGGACCGCCTGCGGGTGGAGGCTCGTTCCTGCCTTCGCAGCACGGTCCGCGAAGTCGTTACCAGCACGATGCCAAGCTTCATGCTCGAAGATACCAGCCTCATTCAGATCTTTGTGCGCGGCAACTTTGACAAGGCCATGGAGCTTGGGCCCAGTTCCCGAGGTCGCTTCCAGAACGGAAGCCATATGGGTCCTGTGGCCGCAAAGGTGGTCCCGAAAGCCCCTGGAACTTGCGGAATCAACTGAGGCACAATCTGAGTACAGCGTGGCCAGCCCATCGAGTTTCACCCCCGCGGCCTCGAAACTCGAGAACTCTCATGACTGTGGGGTCTGGGGCATGTGGGCCCACATGGGAAATAGACTCTGGCCAGGCCCTGGTCCGAAGTCGTAACAAAGGCCCAACCAGCCCGAGAGAGCTCACGCATTTCTGGAACCAAACAGGAGACAGGGAGGAGGAGGAGGAGGAGGAGGAGGAGGAGGAGGAGGAGGAGGAGGAGGAGGAGGAGGAGGACCCCGAGGAGGAGGAGGAGGAGGAGGAGGAGAGGAGGAGGCGGAGGAGGAGGAGGCGGAGGAGGAGGAGGTGGAGGAGTGGGAGGAGTGGGAGGAGGAGGATGAGGAGGAGGAGGAGGAGGAGGAGGAGGGGGAGGAGGAGGAGCAAGGGAGGGGGAAGACACGCCCGCCTCCAGCGTGGGCGAGAGCGTCAGGCTCTGGACCGTGGTGTCACGGTGCAGCTGCACGTACTCGCGCTCGCACCGCAGGAGGCTCAGGAGGCGGTCGGTGAGCTTGTTCTTGCCCACGCCCTGGTTCCCGACCAGGAGGAGGTGGTGGCCGAGCGACCAGTCCAGGAGCATGTCGCGCAGCACAGCCACGTGCTGCGGGATGTCGACGAAAGCCACGTCTGGATTTTCCCGCTGTTTCTGCTGCGTGCGTGCGTGCGTGCGTGCGTGCGTGCGTGCGTGCGTGCGTGCGTGCGTGCACGCGCGCGCGTGTGTGTGTGTGTGTGTGTGTGTGTGTGTGTGTGTGTGTGTGTGTGTGTGTGTGTGTGCGCGTGCGTGCGTGCGTGCGTGCGTGCGTGTGTGTGTGTGTGTGCGTGTGTGTGGCTCGCCCGAGGGCCCGGCCGCGCGCGCGCCCGCTCCCGCCGCTGCTCGAAGCTGCAGCCGCCAACAAGTGTGTGTGTGTGTGTGTCTGTTTGCCTTCCTGTTCTTCCTCTACCTCGCGGACGTTGCACTGCTCACGGCCCTCCTCACGCAGCACTCGAGGATGGTGTTCTTGGCGCGCCGATGACGGCAACACCATTCCACTTTCCCTGTGGGACCGCGCCCCCTGATCCTGTCCATGGCGCACCTTTTTCTGTGCAAGATCTTCGGCACCGCCAATTTTCTGAGCGCTCCGGCCGCCTGAGGCCCCGCCCGCCCGCGCCCTGTCTCCCCAATTAGTGCTCTGCGCGCCCCGCCTAGCTCTTGACCGGAAGAGGCCCGCTCTCGACCGGCAGACCAAAAAAGTGTGTGTGTGTGTGTGCGTGTGTGTGTGTGTGTCTGTGTGTGTGTGTGTGTGTGTCTGTGTGTGAGGGGGGGGGGGACGCGACGCGCGGGGCCAAGGTGGCAGAAGCAAGGATGCCCGGCGGAGAGGGGAGGAGGCAGGGCGGAGGAGGAGGAGGCAACGAAGGACCCGGAGGGCGCCCCGCCGAGGGCCTCCTTGGAGGGCTCCGCCCTGCCAAGGACACCTCGACGCCCTCCATGCTTTGCGGTGCACTACAGGCCCGCACATGAGAGACAAGGCTCAAGGAAAGGAACCCGGGCTCTCCCGCGAAAGGCCTCGTGGAGCCCCGAGCGATCGACTCCGACTGCAGACGCAGTCGTAACTTACCACTGCAACTGCAACTGGAGCCAACCGCCTGGGGCAAAGGCGCGATCATCGAGGGCGGAAGCTCTCTCAGGCGAGCACCGTCTCTCCAAGCCCGAGCGTGGAGTTTCGCGACGGGTGCCCAAATCAACAACTACTCCAGATTTCGTAATAAAAGGGAGGGGGTCTGGACCCTCCAAGACAAGCCATTTCAGACCTCCCCCGTGGGAGAACCCTCCAAAACATCGTCCCCAGACCCCCCCAGGCCCTCCAAGATAGCCTGGAAGAGACCCCCCCCCGAAATGAGACCCCCCTCCCTTTATTACGAAATCTGGAGTACTCAACAAAATGACAGGCTTCGAGCATGCAGGCCAGGGGCCCTCCCGGTCGCCCCCCGACCCGCTGGAGGCGAGCAGCATACTCGTTTTGAAATTGCGTCTGCCACACGTGCGATAACCAGGGCGATGCCCAGCAGCGTCAGCAGCATACCCATCCTGCAGGCAGCACGGGCAACCCGTGCCGCAAGCCAGCTTCCAACCCGCCTCCGTGCCCCCCCCCCCCCGTGACACGCGAGCGGAGGGACGCCGTGCCTGTGCCGAGTGGCCGGGCTTCCCAGGCCTCCTGGCGTCTCCCGCCCCCCAGGCCCTCGTGGCGTACCTCCCTGCGCGCAACGCACCGCCGTCCCTGCCCCTCCCCCCCCTCCCAGCCCGAGGCTCCCTGGGCGTCCCAACGCCCCCCACGCGATCTCCAGGATGCCCCGTTTGGCTTCCGGGATGGCCCAAGTGGCCCAATGCTGTCTGGATGGGGGCCCAGTGGCCGCAGATACGACCCCGAGAGGCGCCCCAGATGCCACAGGAGGCGCGCAAGAACCCCGACGAGGCTTCAAAGACGCCGAACACATGGACACACCTTGCGCGTTTCAACGCTTCTTGCTTCGCTCAGGCCGCCAGACGCCCCCCCCATCCCCCCAAAGAGACCCCCCTCCCTGGAGACGGTTCCACGACGGCCCAATATCGCCCCCAACTCGGAGATGACGCACTGGATGGCCCAGGGCAGGACATCCTCCTGCTAGTTCTCCTCCTCCCCCTTTTCCTCCTCCTCTTTCTCCTCATCCTCATCCTCTTTCTCCTGGTTCCCCCTCTTCCTCTAATTCCTCCTCCTTCTCCTCCTCCTCCTTCTACTCCTCCTTCTCCTCTACCTCCTCCTCCTCCTCCTCCTCCTCCTCCTCCTCCTCCTCCTCCTCCTCCTCCTCCTCTTCCTCCACCTCCTACAACGCCCTCCGCAACTGCCCTAATAGCACCTCCGACGAGGAGGCCGAGAACTCCCTGGGAAACTCTCGGGCAGACGCCGCGGGCACACGCAAAAACAGCGTCGTGTGCTGCAGCCGCCCCGGCCCAATGGGGAACCCCATCGCCGCAAGCCGCGGCCTTCGATCCCCCACGGGAGAAGCACGCCGCTGCGCGCTGGGGGCCCATATGGGATCTGGGAGGGAGCCGACATCTAACATGTCAGAGCCATCCAGGCACCCTCGACCAACGTACACCACATGTCACACGATACGGGCCTCTCGGCCATTTCGGAAAGACGTGTCGCATGTCACTTGCACGGCCTTCTGGATCTTAGAGGCGACTGTCACATGTTACTGCCTTGTTATAGCAACTCTCCAAAACGGTTCCGACACAGAACGTTGTGCTGGCGCGGTTGGTGGGGGGGAATTGCTGCAATCACCCGGATAATCCCAGCAACGATGAAAAAGAGCAATGTGGCCACCGTGATCTCGGCACGTTGATGCGTGTGAGAATTCCAAGCGGTTGGGTGTTGGGTGCTGTGGTTGCGTGCCGTACTGGTTCTAGCACCCCCTCGTGAAAACAACATGGGCTACAGAAGTGAGCTGCACCACTGCGCCTGCGAGGGCTGGGTTGCACGGGGCGGGGTGCGCACAACATCGGGGGGCGTAGCTGGGCGGGGGTAGAAGGACAAGTTTTGAGGCACCGGCAAGAGCTTTCCGACTCCGCAGTCGGCCAGTCGGCCAGTCGACCAGTCGACGAGTCGGCCAGTCGCCCAGTCAGAGTCGGCCAGAGACGAGAGGGGAGTCGGATAGTGAGTCCCAGTGGCCCAAACATTTGTCAGATAACCCGGGGGGAGGAAGCCAAGGCGCAAGTGTCTGAAGGGGCCCCAGGACACACAAATGAATACACACTAATAAAACTACCCCCAATATTTTCCCATATTTCCTGGGTTTCTGTCTTCCCCCCCACTTCCCATATTTTCCCATATTTTCGGGGGAATCGAGGATTCATTGTGTCTCGGTGCTTTTTCCTCTCCTGAGTGTGGCGGGCAGGGGGGGCAAAAGCAAACGCAGGCTCCTGGGACCAGCTCCGGCTGCCGGGGGCTGCGCAGCGGCGCGCTCGCGTCGCCGACGCGGGCCATCCCGTCCACGGCCTCCGGGAGCGCGGCCTCCCCGGGCCGCGGGTGCGCTGACGCCGCGCGCTGCCGCGACCCCTCGCCCGGGGCCGGCGGGGCGTCGGCCCAGGCCACCGCCGAGGCCCGCCGCCGCATGTCCTCGAGCCGCCGCTCGGCCTCGCGCGCCCGTTCGCGGTCCGCCCGCTCGCGCGCCCGGTCCACCTCGGTGCCCCCGCCGAACATGCGCGCCTGGATGGCGACGTTCTCCAGCTGCCGCAGGCGCTCGCGCCGCCCCCTGGTCTCCGCCTCGTCGGCGGCGGCGGCTGCTCGGCGGCGCAGCTGCCAGCCCGCGGCGGGGGCGCCCGCGGCCTGCATGGACTCCACCAGGAGCCGGTGGACGGCCTCCTGCTTGGAGAGCGGCAGGAAGCGCAGGCAGGCCGAGAACGCCCGATCCAGCGCTCCCGCGACGTCCCCGGGGCGCTGCCGCAGGTGGCGCGAGACTCGCAGCAGCACCCTCAGGCTCGGCCGTAGGGGCTCCAGGCTCGGGTCGTCCACCGCCGCCTTGCTCATCTGCTCGGTGTACCGGAAGAGGCCGCGGAAGACCCGCGGATCCGTGTCGCCGTGAGCTGCCAGGTGCAACTGCTCCTCCGCTGGCAGCGGCTCGCAGGCGTGGAAGTGGAAGAGGCACGCGACCTCGTCGTCCGGCCACGCTGCATCGCCCACCCCGGAGGGCTCGGCGATGGCCGCGCAGCGGAAGCAGGGGTGGACCCTGCGGAAGCGCACGCCGGCCTCCTCGAAGCAGCAGCAGTCGGCTGGCAGCGAGCGTGCCGCCAGGAGGCGCTGCCAGCGCGACGGAGCTACTAGCCGCGAGCCGTCGGGCATCGCGGCATCCCGGTCGCACAGCAGTGGTCCGAGTGTCGCGGCGAGCGTGCCGCGTGCCAGCCGCTGTGCACCATCCAGCACGGCCAGGCCACCGGTGAGCGCCGCCTCCACCAGTGGCGAATCGTACCACACTGTGCTGCCTTGAGCATTCGTTCCGCGACGTTGAAGCAGGTCACGCGAGATCATGTCCCTGTAGCAGAAGACAACGTGTTGGCGATACCCCAGCACTTCTGCAAAAGCCTTCACCACCACGCTCTTCCCCACGCCCTTGTCCCCGACGACGCAGAAGTCCATCCCAGCAGCGTGATCCTGGAATAATGCGCACGCAACCCTCGCCTGCGAGGGTGTCAGCGTGAGCCCTCCTGGCAGCGCTGCAGCGAGGACACCGCGGGCCTTCGATTCAGCACCTCTGGCGGCAATTGGCACTTGCTCTTCGGCCCTGCGCACGAGGTCGGACTTCTCGAAGCAGTCGTGGTGCTTCACTCCCCGCGCTGCCAGCCACGCCTTCAGCTCCTTCACCGAGAGCTTCGCCACCACCGTCGTGCGCTCCCCGTCCTCGCCCTCCGCGCCCAGTGCCTGCTCTGGAATGCGGGCAGAGGCGTCCCGCGGCGGCGCCGGGGCAGAGCCCCCGGCGGGGGCCAATCGCCCAGCCGCTGCAGCAACCTCCACCCGGTCTGAGCCGTGCTCGAAGGCGAGCAGCAGCTCGCCGCCGGGCTCCCCGCCCTCCCCGCCGCGGCGCACGACCGACGCCAGCTGGTACTCGGCTCCTCTGGCCTCGGAGGCAGCCTCGAGGCCGTCGGGTGCCAACCCTGCCGCAGCCAGCGCCAGCTCCTCCTCCTCGTGGACCTCCTCGCACGTCGCAGACGCAGGGGGGGCCCTCGGCGGCGCCGAGCGCGAGGCGCCGGCGCCGAGGCGGGGGCAGACCCGCCGCAGCGCGGTGCCGGCACCCAGCGCGGGGAAGAGCGCGAGCAGGCGGGCGGCGCTGAAGACGCCGCCCTCGGGCACTGCCAGCGGTGGCGCGCCTGAGGCGGTGGCGCACTCTTCGGCCTGTCTGCCCGCGCGGGCCTGCAGGGCGTCGGCGGCGGCGCAGAGGCGCTCGGCGTCGGCAGGCGGCACCTCGAAGGGCGGCCGCGAGCGCGCCACGAGCGCTGCCAACATGTCCGCGCCGCAGAGGGGCGGCACCACGAAGGCGGAGAACCTCGATCGCAGCGGCGGGTCCAGGGGGTTGCCCCTCCCTGGCGAGCCCAGGGCCACGACGAGGAAGTCGGGGTGCACCGGGACGAGCTGCGCGCAGCCCTCGCCTCCGCCGCCGCCGCCGCGCTCACGCGCCGTGCGCAGCGCCTGGGCGCGCCGGGGCGCCAGCAGGAACCTGCGGTCCTCCAGCTGCATCTCGCGGTTCTCCAGGAGGTTGTTCAGCAGGGGCAGCACGTTGCGCTCCGCCTTCTCGATGCCCTCGAGCACGAGCACCCTGCCGTGCAGGGCGGCGCGGACTGGCGGCTGGTCCGCGTACTCCACCCGGCCGTCACGGATCTCCCGCCGCTGCTTCAGATCCGACTCGTTCGTGTCGCGGGTGATGCTGACGTGCTCCGCCTCCCGCCCGAACAGCTCGCAGAAGCGCAGGGCGAGGTGGCGCATCCGCGGGCCCGGCGGCCCGAGCAAGAACATGTCCTGAGGGACAGACGAGTCACTACATGCCGCTGCGCCCTGCCCAGGCCTCTCTGGGGCGCGCTCTGACCACCATCCCGAGGGGGGAGTACGGCCACGCCGACCTGGGTCACCCAGGGAGGCCCAGAGAGGCGACACGCCAAAGAGTTGGGCACCCGGCGCCGGTGCGTGTGCTCTTCCTCCACCGAGTCCTGGCGCATGGAGGCCTTCTGCATCATCCACCTGAACACCGCCAGCTCGGCCGCTGCCGCCGCTGGCCAGCCGCCGCCGACGTCGCAGGATCAATCAACATTGCACTGGGGAGCCGGATCGGATCGGAGCTTGCACCGGATCGGGCTGCATCGGCACGGTGTCGAACTCGAATCGGATCGGCTGCGCCAAGATGCACAACAGGGCCATGCGAGCATCGGGCCTCGACGCATCGCAATCGGATCAGGCCAGCCGAACTGGCCATCGAACCGCATCGATCGGATCGAGAGGGAGCCGCCGCCGCAGCCGGGCACCTCAGCACCGCCAGCTCGCCCGGCGGCGACGCGCCAGCGTCGCCGGCGTCGAGGCCGCGCAACGGTGGCCGCTCGGGCACCAGCGCCGACGCCGGGCCCTCCGCGGCGGCCGCCGCCAGCGCCACGCCGCCGATGGCGTACGCCGCCGCCGCCCTGGGCGCGGCCGCTCCCTGCGCGGCCTCCCCGCCGCCCTGCTGCGGCATCGCCGCGCGGGCGGCCGCCGCCGCCGCAGCCCTGGGCGAGGCCGCGGCCTGCGCGCTCCCCGCGCCGCCCTGCCGCGGCATCGCCGCCGCCGGCGGGCGGGGGGGAGCGCAGGGCGCGGCGGGCGCGCTGCCTGTGGCCCGCGAGTGGCCTGCTGGAGCCGGCCGCGCCAGGGGCGATCGGCGCAAGCGCTGGCCGCGGCGCGGCAGGGTTGTGCTTCTCGCGCTCTCGCGCCGCCCGCCCGCTGCATAACCGGGCTCGGTCCTGGCGACAGGTGGCGATCGAGCCAGCGAGCGTGCATGACCGGGCTCGGTCCTGGCGGGAGGTGGCGGGTCGGCGGCGGCGGTACACAGCTCAAGAAGCTTGACGGTTTTGCCCGTCAAGCTGTGCGACGGGCTCCGGTGGTGGCTCATGGAGCTTCCCGCTCTCCATCCGACGGCTGCTTCTGATCGCCGCGTGCTCCATACAGGTCGGTCGGAAGAAGGTGGGTAAAAGGATGAGGTAGGAAGGCGGATCACATAGATCGGGTCCAGGCCCTCCCAGGGAATAACAAAACCCGTCAAGAACATGCCGATCCTTGAAGTAGGAAGGCGCTGGAAATCCCCCCCTCCCCCTCCCCCTCCCCCTCCCCCTCCCCCTCCCACTCCTCATCCTCCTCCTCCTCCCTCCTCCTCCTCCTAGCCCTCCTCGTCCTCCTCCTCCTCCTCCTCCTCCTCCTCCTCCTCCTCCTCCTCCTCCAGACTGGGACCTGGAACCCTCAAAAAGGCCTCCTTCCATCGACGGGCGCGCATGGTCCGAGGCCCTGCGCCGGGAGCCACGGCCCTTGCCGCAGGCGGGGCACCGAGGGCGGGCAGCGAACGCACCCCTCTCAGAAGCCGAGGGGGCAGGGGGCGGACAGACTCGGGCGAGGACAGGTCGGCAATCTGTCGGAGATCTTTTTGTTTGTTGAGCTCCACGCTCTCTCCGCCACATTTTATCCGGTTTTATGTCGGGCCTGTCCCCCTCCAGGGGGATTCTCGACGAAAAATAAAAAAATACCCCAACAATAATCAAAAAATGCTCCAGAAATAGTCTGGGGGTATTTTTTTGAGCATCATCTTTTGGCCTTTTTGGAGTAGTTTTGGGGGTATTTCTTTTTTTGGTTTTCGTCGAAAATCCTCCTGTAGGGGGACGCGCCCGACAGAAACCCAGGTCCCCCTACGGCGGGGGGAGAGAACACATCAGTCTGCCCGAGAGCGCCGGCGAGCCTGGACTGAGGCCGCCTCGGGCGCGCCGCGGCCGTCCCAGGGCGCCCCCCGAGAGCGCCCCGCGAGAGCGCCCTTTGGGCGGCTGCCCTGCGCCGCCCCAGCACATGCCCACACCGATCGAGGTCGAGGAGCGCGAGCAGGAGGCGCAGCGGTCGAGGTCGAGGAGGTCGAGGAGGTCGAGGAGGTCGAGGAGGTCGAGGAGGTCTAGAAGAAGCGAGGAGACGGGACAGACCAGGAATGATCGGGACGATAAGGAGGAGGCCAAGGAAAACGGATGATTATGATGATGATGATGATGATGATGCTGATGATGATGATGATGATAATGATGATGATGATGATGATGGTGATGATGGTGATGATGCCGACGTTGATGCTGATGATGCTGATGCTGATGCTGGTGATGATAAGTATGATGATGATGCGGATGATGCTGCTTATGGCGGTTATGATGCTGATAATGATGATGATGATGATGATGATGATGATGATGATGATGATGATGATGATGACGATGATGATGATGATGATGATGGTGATGCTGATGCTTACGCTGCTGCTGCTGATGATGTTGCTGCTGCTGCTGATGATGCTGATGCTGATGCTGATGCTGATGCTGATGCTGATGCTGATGATGATGATGATGATGATGATGATGATGATGATGATGATGATGATGATGATGATGATGATGATGATGATGATGATGATGGCCTCGGGCGCCCCCCCTACTCTACGGGTAGTCCCGCTGTGGTGATGTCTGCTTTCGCAAGTACCTGAGGGACCCGACCTCTAGGGCCGCGACGGCATCCGTCCCCGGGTCTTGGGCGTGGCTTCATGGGGGGGTCATAAATGGGGGGGTCAGAAACGGTCCCCTTTCGTGCCCCTTTCGAGCCCCTCCGGACCCCCAGGGGGCTCGTTTAGGTACCGTTTGGGTACCTTTTCGGACCACCCTCGCCACCCCCCCCCCATTTATGACCCCCCTATTACGCAACGCCCAAGGGGCCGCGACGGCATCCGTCCCCGGGTCGGCGTGGATCGGTCCTCCGGTCTGTGTCGGCCCGCATGGCAGCAACCTCTGCGCGGGCCGGCTCCGTCCACTGTCTTGGCAATCCCGTCCCCCTGTGGGGCAGAGGTGTACACCCTGCGAAATGCTTTAGAAATCATGGGTTAAGAAATTCATAGTCTCAGAACTTGAATAAAAACCCAAAATTCCCATTCAAATCTTAGGATTTACATTGAAATGTTAAGAATAATCGAGACTCTGGCCGAAAACTTGGGTTTTCTTAAGCATCCCCTAAGGTGTAGGACTATGCAGGGAAGGCGGTTCCAAGCCCTGTGAGCACAGTGGCGCATTTTTGGCGGCGAGGGGCACCTCGGCGAGGGGATAAAGCCCCTCGAGTGGAGAGCGCCAGCAGTTCGGCGGACGTGCGGAGAGGAAACATTTGCCCCCAACTGGAAGGGGCCCCGACCTGCTGTGCAGGTGCGGCTCGGAGGCGTGTGCCGTCAGGCCCCCCTTGGCCACCCGTGTGCCGAACCACGCGCTTTTGGACGCCCGAAATGGGTACCGAAAGAATGGGTACAATGCCCAACAACAAGTGTTGTCCCAAGCCAACAGCAGCCGCTGTTGGGCAGGCGGCCTTCTGTCTCGAATGGACACAGGCCGCGGCGGCGCGGACAGCGAGTCCTGTTCAGAATGAACAGGAATTGTTGTTGGGCATCGTACCCATTCTTTCAGTACCCATTTCGGGCGTCCAGAGCGCTGCGTGCCCCGCGCGCGGCGGCGTGAGGTGGCCGGCGTCCCTGGCGCGGGGGGAGGCAGGATGCATTCTCGGGGCCACCTGCCTTCGGTGGGCTGGTGCTGCACCTCGTGCAGCTGGGGAGCCGGTGCCCCGGTGCCCCCGCCTGCCTCTCCCTCTCTGGCTCTCTCTCCTCTTTCACTCTTTGTTTCTCGTTTTGCTGCTCTTATTCTTCTTCTTCTGCCTCTTCCTTTTTCGTTTTGCTGCTCTTCTCCTTCTTCTTCTTCTTCCTCTTCCTTGTTCGTTTTGCTGCTCTTCTTCTTCTTCTTCTTCTTCTTCTTCCTTCTTCCTTCTCGGGGCCCCGTCGGCGTGGCGACCCCCAGCCGCAGGGGGTCGCGGGGGTGGGCGCTTGTCCCCCCCCCCCCGCCCCGAACGGCAGGCGGTCCGGACGAAGCCACTCCGTATGGCTGCGTCTATAGGGGGATGAGGAGGGAAGGAGGCCGGCGTTCCGCGGGCGGATGCCGAGTGCCGCGGGGGCGCGACGGCCGCATCCAAGAACAGCCCGAGCCGGAGCGCTGCGACGAGGGCGAGCGGGGTGAGGGGCGGGGCCTCGGGGCTGTGCGATCGGCAGCGGCGGGAGCGGGAGGAGCAGCGGGAGGAGCAGGAGGGCCAGGGGGGGGGGGAGGGTGGGGGATGGGGAGGGAGGGGGGCGGCACCGACGAGGAAGCATTGGGGTCCAGAAGTGCGGCCCGCGCTGGAGCGAGGGCGCCAATCCGAAAGGTGGCCGACGCCGCAGCGGGGGCACCACCCTCCAAGGCCGGGAGCTCTGCGAAGACCAGCTCGGGACAGCCCTGCGTAGAACGCGGTAGGCCAGACAGGTTAGCGAAACGATGCGCAGCATCCAAAGACAGAGAGAGAGAGAACGCTACAGAGAGAGAGAGAGAGAGAACGAGAGAGAGAGAGGGAGAGAGAGAGCGAGAGAGCGGGGGAGAGAGAGAGAGAGAGAACCCAACAAGGAGAGAGAGAGAGAGTATTAGGTGAGTAGTGTTTGTAATTGGTGAGGTGAGTCGTATGTGTAGAGAAACAAAACAAGAAGAGAGATCTGAGTAGTATTTGTAATAGGTGTGGACGGGAGGTCGGGAGGACGGACGGATGAGGGATGGGTGATGGAGGCGGGAGGGAGGAGGAGGAGGAGGAGGAGGAGGAGGAGGAGGAGGAGGAGGAGGAGGAGGAGGAGCGCCCGTACCTCGAGGAGGAGTAGGAGGAGGAGGAGTAGGAGGGGGAGGAGGAGGAGCCGTCCAGTCAGCGAGGATCATGCCTCCCTCACCCTTCTCATCCCTCCTCCTACTGCTGCTGTTGTGCTCGCGCCAGAGGGGGCAGGCACGCCTCCGCGAGCCCCTCCTCCTGCTCCTCCTCCTCCCGCCTCACGCCTTCCTCCCTCCTTCCTCGGGCCTCCCTCGCCCTCTCCCTCCCTCCCTGCGCTACCCCTCCACCCCTCCCTCTCCCTCTCCATCCTCCCCATCGCTCTATCTCCTCGTCCCTCATCTTTCCTCCCTGAGCTATCCCTCCACCCCTCCCTCTCCATCCTCCCCATGGTTCTATGTCCTCGTCCCTCGTCCTTCCTCCCTCCTTCGAGCTCCCTCCTCCTGCCCCATTCTGCGCGATGGTTCTCAAGCTCTTCCCTCCAGATCTCGTCAGCTTCTCACCGCTGATACCCTCCATGCCCAGCATGGCAAAGCTCAGCGAAGTAGTGGTACCAAGATGCCAGATTCACCTCGAGACAACAGGCCGACCGGCGGTCTCTTCATCTTTGCTCAAGGCTAGAAGCGGGTTGCGGTATACATGTGGTGCAAGGCGACGGTGTGCATGTAATCGTTTATGCAACCTATTTCCATGCTCCTAGTGGGGATGTGCTCACAGCGAGGAAGCATCTCGCAACCAACGCCGCGGAAATTCCGACGCATCGTTGGCAGCTGCCACGCGCACTCTGTGAACACGTCCTCATCTCACAAAGCAGCATGGCATTGGTCTGCGCACGCGGCACGATGCTGTATGCTACCACAATTATTCATGCTCACAAGTGGTGAACTTCGTTTCTGCCTCGGTTGCTTCCAGAAGAAATGCTTCTAGTCGATACGAACTGGCGGCGGATGACTGACAGGGCACTTTGTTGTGGCGGAAAATGCTCCGTCGTCGTCCCTTGCTACGGGAACTCCGGCGTCTTGCCGGTCCTCCCTCACCCAGCGGAGGCGTGTGCCTGTCGCCCAAGCCTCTTCGCTGGGGAGTGGAGAGCACGAATACAGGAGGACAACTACCTCCAAGGGTGCGAGGGAAGCCAGGGGAGCCGAAACGGGGGTGCAAACAAACCTACCTCGCTTTTGACCACCCTCGCTTCCAAGAGATACCAAGCGATGCCAAACTACGACCTGTACTGGTCAGGCCGCTTGACGAGGAGGCGCGTGGTATGACTTGGTTTTGCCTGGAAGCGAAAGCGGGGTAGGTAATTCACGCTCTGAGAAACAGGGGGACTGGCCCAGTGGGCGGAATATCGGCATGGAGTCGATGGCGCATCGCCGACAGGCTGGCGATCTGCCCCAGGCGCCTGGTGATGAATGGAATGGGCGACTGGGGGTCGATGCCCCCCCCCGTAATGGAGGATGACGACTAATAAATGACCGGGGATCGTGTTCACGCGGCGGCGCCCGGGATGACGATTAGAAAAAACCGGCCGCGGGCAGGAAAACTATCGTTGAATCGTTCTCCTCCAGTCAGAAAATTACGCAGAAATGGGAGGAAACTATTTTTTATTAATCGTTCTCTCCCATTTCTTTATTCATCGTCATCCCGCATTAGCGCACGACCCAAACATCCAACGATGAGCTTCTTCAGTCCGCGGGTCCCAGGGGTCTCGACCCCTGCACTGCGGACACTCTCTCGCCCCGGCTCCACCTGCGATGGCCCCGCGGGGCCCGGGCACGGCCCCCCCGAAGGCCACCAATCGATGCACGAAGGCTCGGAGGCGGCGCTGCCCCCGGGCACCCTGCAGACGGGGACCTGCATGGCTGCAATCTAACGGGCGAAGCACGGTATAAGATAAACTGTTTCGCTGTCGGGGGCGCCTGTCCCAGGGCGGCTGGAGAGCTTCTACCCCCACGGTGCCCCCTACGGCTGGAGAGCTTCTACCCCTTGAGAGCCTATACCCCTGGGTATAAACTTTCCAGCCGCCATGGGCCAGGCGCCCCCGACGGCGAAACAGTTTATGTTACACCGTTCTTCGCTCGCGGAGCAATGGCGGCGGCGCTCTCCTGCCGCCTGCCCGCGCCCTGCCGCGCGACCGCTGCGCTTATCCCGCCGCCCCTCTCCCGCCCCCTCCCCGCGCGCGCTGGCCGAAGGACCTAACCAGCGTCGAACGTATCCCTATCCCTAAGATGGGCGAGCAATAAGCGAGGACAATCCTAGGGATCTGCCCTCAGAAACCGAGGGGATCCTTAAGATCGGCATCGAGGTGAAGTGACGTCAAACGCAGGGATAGGGATACGTTGCAAACTCGTAAGAACCCGCCCCGCCGTTCCTGGAGATGCCTGCCTCGGCGGCGCCGAGGGAGGCCCCAGGGCACCAATCGATGCAGGAGCGCTCGGAGGCAGCGCCTGCCCCCGGGCACCCTGCAAACGGGGACCTGCATGGCAATGGAGGCGGCGCTCTCCTGCCGCTCTCCCGCGCCCTGCCGCGCGACCGCTGCGCCTCCCCTCGCCCCTCCTCCCGCCGCCTCCCCGAGCGACCGCTGCCGCAGAGCCCGCCCCGCCGCTCCTGGCTATGCCTGCCTCGGTCGGCTACACGCAGGAGCGACCCTGGGTAAGAGTGACCTTTGGTGCGCAGCTTCTTGGGGGCCGCGGGGGGACCAAACACACAGGCGCGCAAGGCTCTGCCATATCGCACCGCATTTCGGCGATCGGGGGGCCCCACTGGGCCCGCACCAAAGGTCACTCCGGCGAAAGGCCACTCTTACTATAGTCGACTCGGTGGCGCCGAGGGAGGCCCGGGGCCGGGGCTGCTCGCCGCCGGCGCCCGGGGCTTTGCCCAGCCGCCCCCGGCGGAGGCCACGGGCGCCCGCGCGGCCCGGACCGGCTGCGCGCGACGAGGGGCAATCGCGGCCTCTGCGGCGGACGCGGCCTGCCGACCGCGGCGGCGTGTGTGCTGCGGCAGTGGCGGCCTGCGCGCTCGGGTGTGCCCATCCCCCCCCCCCTCCTCCTCCTCCTCCTCCTCCTCCTCCTCCTCCTCCTCCTCCTCCTCCTCCTCCTCCTCCTCCTCCTCCTCCTCCTCCTCTCCTCCTCCTCCTCCTCCTCCTCCTCCTCCTCCTCCTCCTCCTCCTCCTCCTCCTCCTCCTCCTCCTCCTCCTCCTCTTCCTCCCACCCCACCCCGGCTCACCCCCCGCAGTCAGCGAGCGAAGAACGGTATGACATAAACTGTTTCGCTGTCGGGGGCGCCTGTCCCTGGGTGGCTGGGAAGTTTCTACCCCTACGGTGCCACCCTAAGGGTCGGAGGTGAGGGGGTGAGATCGAAGTGGAAAGGAGAGCCCCCCTACCGAGAAATCGATTTCGGTTTCGTGTTCGTGCGTGCTGTGCGCGCGGGCGAGGCGAAGCTGCGTGGGCGAGCGAGACGAAAATCTCCTGTGGCTGAGGCGCGGCCGGACCAAATGTGTCTCTTCCGGGCGGCCGGTGGCGCGCGGTGTCCCGCCGGTGTCCCGCTGGTGTCCCGTCGGTGTCCCTGTGGCTGAGGCGCGGCCGGACCAAATGTGTCTCTTCCGGGCGGCCGGTTGCGCGCGGTGTCCCGCCGGTGTCCCGCTGGTGTCCCGTCGGTGTCCCGTCGGTGTCCCGATGATGATGCGGATCGATTGTGAGATCGATTGTGAGATCGATATTGAGATCGATAGTGAGACCGAATGTGAGACCGAATGTGAGATCGACTGTGAGATCGATTGTGAGATCGATAGTGAGACCGAATGTGAGACCGAATGTGAGATCGACTGTGGGATCGATTGTGAGATCGATAGTGAGATCGACAGTGAGACCGAATGTGAGACCGAATGTGAGATCGATTGTGAGACCGAATGTGAGATCGACTGTGGGATCGATTGTGAGATCGATAGTGATATCGATAGTGAGATCGAATGTGAGATCGATTGTGAGATCGATAGCGAGATCGATTGAGTGAGACGTTGGTTCCCCCTCCCCCTCCCTCCTTATCACCCGCAGGGTGGTCGTATAGGTATAAGCTTTCCAGCCGCCCTGGGACAGGCGCCCCCGACGGCGAAAAAGTTTATGTTACACCGTTCTTCGCCCGTTAACCCCCCTGCACCCCACCCCACCCCCCCCCGGCTCCCCCCCCGCAGGCCCGGCACCAGTGAAGGGGCCCCAGGACACACAAACAGACACACACAAGTAGAAAGATCCCCCAGGTTGTCCAATAGTTCCTGGCTTTCTGCCTTCCCCCCCCCATTCCCCACATTTTCCCATTTTCTCCTGGGAGTCGACGCTTCATTGTGTCTGTGTGTTTTTTCCTCCTCCTGAACCAGGCCTCCCCCGTGACAGGTCCCTATCGGCTTCGGGGTCGTGGCTCTCCGGCGTCCGGCGGCCGCGGAGGAGTTTCTCTACCCCTACGGTGGGCACCGCAGGGGTAGAAGCTCTCCAGCCGCCCTGGGACAGGCGCCCCCGACAGCGAAAAGGTTTATTAGGGGGCAAACAAACCTACCTCGCTTTTGACCACCCTCGCTTCCAAGAGATACCAAGCGATGCCAAACTACGGCCTGTACTGGTCAGGCCGCTTGACGAGGAGGCGCGTGGTATGACTTGGTTTTGCCTGGAAGCGACAGCGGGGTAGGTAACCTACGCTCTGATTTATGTTATACCGTTCTTCGCCCGTTTACGCAGGCCTGGCAACAGAGGCCCCCCCCGTGAAAGGTCCCCTCGGCATTCGGGGGTCGTGGCCCGGGCGTCCGGCGGCCGCGGAGGATGCCTCGACCAATAGGCCCCCAGAGCAGGTCCTCCGGGGCGCAGCGGCCGCAGCGCACCCCGCGGCAGGAAGGCCCCCGGGGGCCGGCGAAGACGCCCCAGACCGTCTATACTCCAGATCTCGTAATAAGGGGAGGGGGTCTGGACCCTCCAAGACAAGCCATTTCAGACCCCCTCCCGTGGGAGAAGCCTCCAGAACATCGTCCCCAGACCCCCCCCAGGCCCTCCAAGATAGCCTGGAGGAGACCCCCCCGAAATGAGACCCCCCTCCCTTTACTACGAAATCTGGCGTAGCCGAAAGGCCACTCCGCGCGAAGGGGTCGTTCTCACGCGTAACCGATGCCCCGACCTGTTCAGGTCACCAGGTGGCCCGTGGAACATCGCCGGGCGCCGCCGCGGCGCTCAGAGGACAAGCCTGGCGGGGCGGGGTTCCTCCGCGTCGCCCGGCTTCCACACCATGCAGTGCACGAGCAAGTCTGAAAGGTCGTTCCAAGCCGCCGGGTTGTGGCGCTGCAGCTCCATGCTCCAACCCTCCACCTGGGCCGAATGGAACCCTCGTTGCTGGGAGGTAGATGGGGGAGGGGTTATTGAGCGCCCAAGCGAGCGAACGAGGAGGATCGAAGATGCAGATGGTATGGGGGGGAAGGGGGAACGAATTAATCAATGTCCCTCGTGGTCATTTTTGTTTTTGCTGGTTTACCGTGCGCTGGATCGTGCGCTCGTGTACCACACGGACGAAGACGTGCTCTAAGTCGGCTGGACTTCGGCATACTCGAATATGTATATATATATAGAGAGAGAGAGAGAGAGAGAGAGAGAGAGAGAGAGAGAGAGAGAGAGAGAAGCAGAGAGAAAGAGAGAGACAAGACCAGCGAACCCAGGCCAGAGGAGGGCAGGGACACCGCCTCGTGCCCCCACCTGCTCGGGCACACATGCGGGTTGTTCCAAAACGCAAGTCCCTACCAAGACGCGTCGCGCTAGCCTCAAAAAGCCCGTTCCCATCGAGCCGCGTCTGGCTGGCACGAAAGGTCACTTCTCATCGAGACGCCACCGACGGAAATGATCATAAACGATGACGAATAGCCTCGTTCCTATTATGAACGCTTCGCACCCTAGCATGTCGATCGATATACACGACTTCGCGAAGAGGAGGGGAGAAAAAGGAGGACGAACAGGAGGAGATGAGGAGAGGGAAGAACAACCAAGGAGAGCGGCCAAACGAACGGCGGCCTCAGATCCCGCTGAGGTTCGCACTCAGCTGCATCCAGTAACTGTCGCAGCGATGGTCGAGGACCTGCGGTCGACTGAGTAACCAATCCATTTGTCATCATCTGCTGATGCGCACCGCTCGCCGATAGCGTTATTCGTGGATGCGACTCTCCTCCAAGACATGCTGCGCCCGACGAGCGATGTCCGACAACGGCGCCGTGCCGTGCTTCATCACTCCGCCTCCATTCATCAGCGCCGTCTTCGCGTGCTCCTACACCTTCCACGCCAGTCTGACGCTGTACTTTGACCTCCAGCATGGCGCCGTCGCGCGCGCGCGCCTTCGTCGCGCGGCGATAGGGAAGGTCTCGCTGCAAGGCCTGATGAAAGATGCACGGCCTGGATCCCGTTCTGGTCGCGAATATGTTTGTAATGCTCTGGATATCTGTCGAAGTCCTGCTTGACCTGGGCGCTGAGCTGCGCCGCCTGCGTCTCCGCCGCCGAGTTCGCGAGCGCCAGAGAGACCGACGTTCGTGGAAGTCCCAGCTGCGCCTCTCGATCCTTTCGCCACTCCTGGCGCCGGCTGAGCATGCGAGCGCCCCGCGTCCAGGCCGGCCTGCGTCGCGACTGAGCCGGCGGGCAGACGCGTTCCTCCAAGTCCGACACCGCGCGAGGCACTCGCGCCTGACACTCTGCTGCCAGACCGAGCTTCGCCACCAAGATCAGCATGTCCTTCGGCCCGTTATGATTGCCCTTGTCGGCCTCCTTCAAGTCCTTGCCGAGGGGCTCGCCCCGCCGCTGGCGCTGGGCGGGAGGCGCCAAACCCAGCTCGAGCGCATGTCCTCTGGGCGCTCGAGAAGGCGCGCGTGTGACTCCGGCAGCCAGCTCAGGTCAAATCTTGAACCCTAAACAAGCTACAACAGGTGCATATCGAGGTCCTGGGACAAATGTGCGAACGTGCATGATGTGGTGCCAACGACTTGAATGTCTGGCCACACGTTGGGCACGCGAGATCTGTTTCATCTAGTGCATGCTGTGGTGTGATGGGATGGCCGGTAAGACGTCGAGTCTGCGCAAATGAACGTCGCGCGCGAGATGCGGAACAGCCGCGGCCACTGAATAACGAAACGGGGAGCACCGCGGACACGTACTGCTCTGAACAAAACCCGCAACATGTATATCTCGATTCAGACGCCCAGCTCGGGATTGATGCACTCGCAAGGCTCGAAGGGTCTCGAAGGTCTCCCCGCGCTCCTGAAAATTGGCTAGAATATCACAACCAAGATATGCTCGCTCGCGTGGGCGCCCAGCATCAGGGGCCAGGGGTTCCGCTGGATCCCTGGGGGAGTTGCGACGACTGCAAGGAACTTTCTCTGGAGCTCTGAAACATCGATATCCAGGAAGTGGGCCAGCAAATGCTAATCCACCAAGGGCCTCTGCACTGGCGCCTGCAGACATTTCCGCGAAGGCCCCCTCCTCAAGTTCAGCCCTGTCCTCGATCATCCTCTCCCCGAACATCGCGGGCGAGCCGCGCCTGGCGCGACCCGGAGGGCGCGACCCGGAGGGGCCCGCGCCCGAAGCATCTGAGGGGCCAGGGGGATGGCGAGGAGCTTGTTCGTTTCTCTCGAGGGCCCTGAAAATTGTGCGGCGCCGCCGAAGTCTCTGAATCCTGAGCTCCAACGAGACTGGCGCCAGTCGGAGCACCTGCAAAACGCGAGCAGACGAGGGGTTTGTCTTCTGCACCATGCCGTCGGAGAGGGGGGTGGTCTCAGTCGCGGCGCTCGCCGACAACTTGCGGCAGTGCCACATTTGAGCTCCGTCGAGTTTGGCCCCGTCGCCCTCGCTGAAGGGAAGCCCTGGCGCTCCGGACATTCAGCGAGACATGCGCGTCATGCGAACAAAAATACCAGTTGGAATTATCAGCGAACTTTGCCAATACAGAACTTGCAGAACACGCGCCAGTCCTTCTCGCGGGCCCGGATGTCGCTGAAGCTCCGCGCCAGCGCGCCCTCGACGAAGAATCGTGGGTCACGACTAGCGCGTTTCCCGTAAAACTCGACCTGGCAACCATTGGCCAGCATAGGCGCGCGACTCTATGTTCTCCGAATCCCACCTGCCCTCTGGGCGTCGGTGGTTTAAGGGGGTGTCCTCTTCCACCCCATCCTTCTTCCCCTTCGGGAAGGGGTCTATCACTGCCCCCTATTAATAAACACCCCCATCCCCCAGGCGACTGGGGGCCAACCCAGGTCCATGACGACCCCCCTTCACAATCCCTTGTAAAAAAAATGCAAACACACGCCCTGCCTCCAAATTCGGAACGCGCGCAGCCAACCCGATGCGCCCCCACCCACCATCCCTGTCAAAAAAAAATACAGAGTACACTTGGCGGAAGCGGCGGCGGCTGCGGCGGCGGCGGCGGCTGCGGCTGCGGCTGCGGCGGCGGCGGCGGCGGCGGCGGAGGCGGCGGTGGCGGCGGCGGATTGGCCCCCAGTAGCTACCCATCTGAGGCTCGGGCCAGACTCGGGTGCCACGCATGTGTTGGGAGGGCGGGTGGGAGTGAGCGAGACGGCTTGCGGGCGGGGGGAAGGGGGGGGGGGGGGGCATGGGCCTGGACATGGGGTTCCCCGAGGTGTCGGAGCGTCCAGAACGGCCTCGGCGAGGAAGCCAAAATCATGGGTGTTACCGTTGTTTGTTTACCCATTTTGGCTTCCTGAGCGGCCCTACTTAGCCCCCCCCCCCCCCCTCCCCTTCCCGTGATCAATATTACCCAGGATGGCCCAAATATGGCCCCCGAGGCTCCAGGGGGCGCCCCGGGGGGGCCGGCCCCCAAGAGACCCCCCAAGAGGCCCCATGATACCCCCCAGAGGCACCCAAGAGGCTCCAAGAGGCCTCGGCGAGAATGCCAAATCATTAATTTTACTACGGTGTTAGCGACATGTTGGCCTCTTGGATGGGGGCACTGACTAAGATGGCTCCAAGGGCGCCTGGGGGAGCCCGAGATGGCCTCCAAGATGGCTCAATATATCCCAAGATGTCTCATTATGGCTCCCACTATGCTCCAAGATGCCCCAAGACCGCTCCAAGACGGCTCCCGGGTGGCCAAAGAGCTCCTCCAGGAGGCCCCGAAGAGGAAACCACCAAAGGCAATTCAATGCGTTTGGCTTTCTCGCCATTTCGCTTCCGGGGGCCATCCGAGGCCCCAAGATGGCTCCAAGGTGGCCCAAGAGGGCCCCAAGAGAAGCTCCAGAGAGCCCCAAGACGGCCCCAAGAGCGCCTGAGAGCGCTCCAAGAGCGCCCCAAGAGGCGATTGTTTGGGCCCCCGAGAGTCAGCGCAAACAAATGCTCGCCTCTTGTTTGATCGACGCCCCCCAAGATGGCCCCAAGAGCGCTCCTAGGGCTCCCGAGAGCGCTTCAAGAAGGGCCCCAAGAGTCTCGGGAGGCCCCAACAGGCGCCCAGGGGGCCTCCAAGATGCTCCCAAGAAAACCCCAAGAGGCCCCACGAAGCTATCCGAGGTACCCAAGACGCTCCAACAGGCCTCCACTGGGGGGCCCTTCCTCTGCGTGCTGCCCACTTCCCTGATCGAGGCAATATCTCAGGGCATCGTTTCTGAATGGGCTGGTGGGGTTACGCGACGCGTCTAAAGTTTTTGCCGACGAAGAACGCGGCGGCCTCTGACTTCTCCTCGCAGCTCCGGAAAGTGTCCTGGCGGGGGCCCGCCGAGACGTTTGGCCCCGCACGTGCGCGAGCCCATTCGCGCGGAGACTGCGCACCGCGTCGGGCGCGAATTTAAGATTGTCGCGAGTTGCCAATGGGGACCTGCAGCAGAAACTTCTAAGCATCTGCGCGCCAACCAGCAACCGACCCCCTCGCCGCGGCGGGAATTAGTCCGGCGTTGATGGCGTAGGGCGCAGTGACGCAGCCACGTATGCAGTCATCGAGCAGGTTAGCGTTGCCGTGCGAGCTCGCGGGAAAGGGCGACCGCGTTTTGCTTCGAACAATTGAAAGCGTTGGCCGCGTCGAGGTTCCAAGCGGCGCGAGATGGTTTTGCCGGCTGAAGCCGCTCCATCAAAACTGCGGCAGCTGCAGTGGCACCTTCGCGGCGCCGCCCGGGAATCTGATGCGCATGAAGGTGGGCAGCGTATTATGGTTGATTGTGAACAAGCCCGCGATAGAAAACAATGCGATCCATATGCACGAGTCCATCGCGAGCCCTTTACGTCCTTCGGGATTCCGACGCATGCATCTCGACGCCACTGCTGCGGAGCTTTCCATTGGCCCCAATCCGATGCAACTGAGGTAGGCGATCGCGTAGACATTGGAGGTGCTCGGC